TGACCAGCCGGTCAACGAGTCTGTCCTGCTGACTCTAGGAAATGCAGTGGCTTCAGCAGATGGCGGAATGTGTAAGCAATTTTTATGTCGTCATCAAGGAGAGAAGGTTTACCAGCGGACGAAGTGGCGAAGACGTCGTTGCTATAGGGGCAAAAGACGACGGGACGTGACACTTCATTGAATGACTCCACCAGTGGATGATGGTGGATGTAACTGTTTGTTTCCAGTTGATGTTAGGTGTGTCCTATCACACAGGTAGGAGGTGAACCGTTGAAACGGGGCTCTGGGGACGCAAACGGATCTAAGTTTCTGTGGCAGAGATGGATAACGGTCTGTTGAAAAATATTTTGGATATACAAACGCACTGGTACGACGGAGTGCGTGGCATTCCAAGCTGCTGTGATGTCCTGAAAAAAGCGATACTTGCAGTCATTGACTGACCTCTGAGACAGGAATCCGTACCACCGGTCATTTTTGGCACTTTTTAGTCGGGAGGATACTGGGCTTTTATGAAACGTTCAAGAATTCCTAATTAAAGAGAGGCATGGCGGATTCCTCTGTAGTTTGTATAGACCCAGATTCGAGATAGGCCGGACTGCAGATGCCTACAACTGAGGGGACGATTCTAAGTTGACCGAGCGGGTAAAAAGATTTAGGACAATGTTTTGACATCCCGGCCACCATATCTCGGAACACGGGTTATTATGCCAGCGCCGTCGGCGCGACATAGTTTTTAGGGGTTTGTAAAAGAGTAGAAACATCAGATTAGTGGATGGTTACGTTGCCAAGAGACAGCTGGTCATTTCGACGTGGAGATGTGGAACGTGGGACAGGAATTATGGATTTGAGTTTGGGAAGAGAGAGAAAGTAGCAGGTGGCAAAGTAGTTGTTCAGGTGGACGGCCATACTGACCAACTTGTGATGAACCACACTTTGATGGAACGCAAAAAGCAACTGCGTGTCTATCTGGTGTGCGATGCTCATGGAATGGGCAAGAGTAATTTAGAGTGAGGGGGCAACGCCTCATTTACGGTATTCTAGAGATACCCGCACAAACCATTGGTTGGAGGAGAGCTTACCATTTAGAAGTCTCAAGATTTCCGGTAATCCATGCTAACTCTGCACTTTATTGTCCGTGTTTTTTAAGCAACTTATCGTCGTGAGAGACACCAGGGTGCAAACTTTTTATGGAATGAAAAGAGGAAGAGTGTCCACTAGGTAATGGCAGAAAATGTCATAAATGCTTTGCGTTTGTTGAGCAAAAGAACCGTCCCTAGTCCTGAGAGGCCAGAAGAGGTGGAAAAGCCAGTAAAATATCTGGAAGGAGGTAGTGAAGAGTTGAATGACTCAGAGGGGCAGCTGCGACATAACTGACAGCGTTGTAAACAACGAGGCAGCGGGAAGGGTGGATCGACCGCACCGTATCCAGCTGACCATCGCTTGAGAATGTCAGGCCTAGGATGTGTAGGCCACGGACGGACGTGCCTTTAATCTGGTTCCGTAGAGGGCGACCAGGAGATATCCGACGGGTTGAGTTCCCCCAACACACATTTAGACGAACGAGATAAGTCATACGCATGGGAGGCAATAAGAAACAAGTCAGCGCTAGATGCAGTGAAGGCTGGTTGTAGATGGACCTAACCTACTAATACAGGTTGTTTAGTCCGTTTTGTAGAGATCCAGATGAACCTCTGAATCCCCTCCATCGCAGGTCTTCTATATGACTTACAAGTAGTTCCGATTTGGAATAATTGACGCAACCCCCATCCCTTGAGTTGCGTGGAGGAAGTAGAAGTACCTGAATTAGGGCTGGCTGGGCGTGTGTTCGGATTCGGCCGAGGTGTATATGGCACTGTTGGTAAAGAGGTGAATATTGGGAAAATCAGTCCTAAACCTACGGCAGAAGGTGGAGTATGTGGCCAGGAAATGGGGTGTAGAATGTCCCCGGGAGAAGCGTACAGTTGAATTGAGAGTTTTGCGACGTGCGGACTTCCGCACCTTTACGAAGTGAAGAGGGGGATATGGTGAAGTAAGATGTGATGGGTTTGGTGGAATGGGTGGCAGTCAAAAATGGTCAGCAAGCGGGACAACAGGGGCGGCCAGGATGATGGAAGTAAGTATGCTTCTGATTTAGCCGCCGGTCATCGCGGACACGAGGTTTTTCCAAGCGAGCGTTTTGAAGCACTTCTCATATAATTATGGGGACGCCGGCACAACGTCGTATTATCTTGTGAGGAACAAGGGGCAAACTCTTCGGGGTGCAGTGGAGGTGTTTCTTAACGAGGCTCTGTCAGAAAATGCTTGAGTCTGAAGTGTTATGTAACGTGGAGGACAGTGGATTAGGGTTCTATGACGAGAGTAAGTGGTGTCAACAGCTGATACAGCCTCTGCCCTGGTTAGATATGTTGCATCAGCCCTTTATGGACCCATGGAGGATTATACCGAGTCGATAGGTGCACTTGAAGTTTTCACCGGTGGTGAAGCAAGAAGCTTTTTGTGGGAGTGCTCTAGGGTCCAAGGTCTTGGAAGGCTTTGAGGCTGGAAGTTAGTGCTGGGAGAAATCATGAAGCACTGGAAGTGTGAGGTTACCATGGGAGCGTCCGTGTAAGTGTTGGCAGTTGACGACACAACAGGATTATGTACGACGGCATGTGGGACACTTTGTCTAATGGTTTGTGGCGAAAAGTGCACCAGCTTCATGCACGCTGTTTGGATGGGTCATTTCACTGATCTGGGCGTCTGAACGCCGGTGGGGTTGAGTTGGCTGACCCGAAGTAGGACAACTTGTGAAATCGGGGCCAACGGTTGGAGTCCCACTACCGCTTGGTGCCATTGTATAGGAAGCCGGGCAATTTTATAGGCTCTGTAAGCTATACTTTGATGCGGGGTTCCTCGCTGTGCAGATATGAATGAACTATGAAGAAAATTTCGTGGTTGTCCGGAGAGTTGAGCTGATGGGGAGCCTGAGATTAAGTCACGTCAAATGCACCAGTTTTCGCAGATTGGTGGGTGAACGATGGTCCTATCTGGTAGCTTCCAGTGACCCAAATTGTGACAACCAAGTGGTGGAATTTAAGCAAGCTGCCTTTGCAGTCAAATACGCATAGCCTTAACTTTATTTATTTTGAATTTTCTGGTAGAGGAAAGATGCGTGTGTGATGTCAACAGACCCAAAACGTCATCTTTGCATTGTGACTGGATGACACACTGATTGTTTTGACTTTTGGAGCCACTGCGCCATGTAGGCGGTGCCCAGCATCTTAAGTGTGGCCAATTGAGACACATGTAGTGTCTGGTAAACTGTCAAGAAGGGCATTGCATAAAACCGTGCACAGGGCCCAGCCAAGCTCACTTGGACAGACCCTTAGAAGGTCAATGGGTCTTCCAATGAGGTAGCTTGTACGTTGGCAGTTGATGCAGTTGATAGCATTGCGTTAATGGCCTTGCGCAATAGGTGATGGTGTCGTGTGCTACATCCTGGTATACCTCGGCCGTGAATGCTCTACATCCGTCTGTCCGGTTATTGGGCGTCAAGCAACTGAAGCACAACCTAACCTCCCTCATGATAATTGGGAAGGCTTGGCTTGCGACACAATTTCATAACGAGTGGCGTGCAATGTACATTGCACAACTAAAGATGCTGGATGCAGAGGAAAAATGTGTGAATGATCATCATTCGCGCGTCAATTGAAATGATCTGCACTTATACTAAATGCATGACTAGCACTTCTGGCTGGCTTCAAAAAGTACTGAACCAACCAGCAAAAGGACAGCTTTTTAGTTAGTGTCCTCAACATCTACAGTGCTTCCCCCCAATAAATCATTATTATAAAATTCAACTATGTCGTGGGACCGTCAAAATTTCCTATGAAGGATATCCATGGCTTTTTCAAAGCCCGGAGTCAACGATTCAAAAGTCTGACCTGCTAGGATACAGGGGTTGGCCTAACCCGAGGGCTCAGGGAATAAGGCATCACTGTCTCATTCCTGATGCGGTGGCGCATAGCAGGTGCCTTTTGAGCAGCACCGGGATTTTTGGTTTTAAAAGTATTTCGACCGTACTGGATAATACGCTGGCAGTCGCGGCCAACCGTTGACCGATCGGAGTGTGCGGATTTTTGAGCCGACCTTTTCTAACCCATCCTTCCTCGGGGGATGGCAGCATCGCTGCTTCCATAAAATGAACATGCTGGTCACCTGGGGGAAACACCTTACTGCCTTCACACTCCTATCGCAGAGGACAGTACGACGTTACACCCAGACCTCCTCGAAATATGATTAATTGTGCTACAGGGTCTCGCTGCTCTTGGTCTGACTGCTCCCCTTCGACCTTTTTGGCATCGTCTGAAAGACTTCTAGTTCAAGCTATGAAATAGGAAAGCTCACTTTTATTGGATCGATTAATTCGGAAATACCCAGTTGGGAGCTGGAATAAGCTACTTGATCAGGGGATGCGGGTCAGTAAGTTTGCTACCTTTAGTGAATTCTTGATGCACATTGGTCTGCGGTTTTCATGTCTTAGTTCAAGGTGTGTGGATCACGGCTGCTTTTGACTTTATTATTATTGCCAAAATTTCTCCAGCTAACATTATTATATTTCTGTACGCTTCCTGCTTCTCACCAACGTTTCTACGTTTACTCCACCTGTGTTATGCCACATCACTACCCTGTTTTTCAGTTTTTGATTGCATGAACGAATGAATATTGGTTCCTGGCCCTAAGTATGTGGACAAGCCTACAATGAAGTCCAGAATTCATCACGATTGCGTTTCTTTAATTCTTAAACAACAGCACCCTATCACAGACACCCAATCACACCTCGCCCCCGATTTTCACGTTATATAAATTACTACACAAAGATCCTGGGAGCTTACCTTCTAAAAGGTGGACGCGGTTTGGTTTGCCAATACGTCTTGATACGTAAGCTGATCGCAACAACCTAGAAAAACTTTGGATGCGCTAAATTACCGAGATTAACAAACAGCGCGCACTTCAAAGCTCATTTTTGTTATCGCGGCATGCGGGTTCTCTTTGGCTGTATTCTCATTTACATATGTCTTGAGGGGCCAAGCGGGGAATATCTACAAGACATATACACTTTGGCAAAGTATATAAATAATCTCTTCACATCTGAGGTTCAGATACATGAATTCAGAAACGTAAGTTCAAATGGTTGTGGTAGAATATCTCGTTGCATGTATAGGGAACTTGAAATAGCATGAGCATCATAGATTTACATTTCGATTGATTGTGTGCAGATTCACCGAACATGGAAGTAGGTGCCACCCTGAGTCTCAAACCTCCAAATTAACCATTTCGGTTGATTGGGATATGAAGCACTCTCTTTTGATTTTTTGTCAAACAAGCTCCACTCGTTACTTTTTCAGCTAAACCAGACTAACTCAATGTTTTTCACAATTAATACTAATCTTTAATCAACCCATAATATACTGGTCAGTCCTTACACGTGCAGAATCCGCTAAATTTATACGGTCACTGGGGTGCATCTAGCTGAAAACTGATATGCACTACATACAGTCAACCAAATAAATTTCAGGGCCTACTCTAGGATGCGAGTTAAGACCAGTAATTGCTTGATCGGACTATGGGTTTGAGTGCGAAAGCTGCCTCACTTAACGGTCACTGGGACCAAACATTTCCTGCTAGACCGCTGAGTGGATAATGAGGTTTCTGTCAATCCATATGTAGTACGACGAACCGCCAAATTTTGCCGTATTTAAAACGAAAATCGTTCTTTTCAAGTGTATGCAATATTGTAGGACCGTGTATGTTTTTTCCTGAAACACACACTATTGAGTTCGGACAAATCCCTAGGGACCTGTCTTTTATCTTGAAGACCGCTTATTCCTCATAAAGGCGGACTAGAGCTTTTCTTAACGAAAATGTTACAATATTTCATCTAGTCACACGTAGACGGCCACTGACAGTGTGTCACTTCAACAAGAAAGGCAATAGATAGAAAGAGACAGATACCGACACTTGAAGATCTCTATCCTAGTAGGCGGGGCTAATTCTTCATGGCTGATGAATTAAGTGAGAAAATCTCAGAGATTAGAGGTTATATAAGCCGAATATTTGCCCGCTGTCGCCTACTACAATCTGAATGCTTACTTGAAAATCTAGGTAATCTGAATTTTGAATTTTCTCAAAACAACACTTGGAATATTACCAGGGTTATTTTTTCAATTTGAAATCATGGTCTGACGGTGAACAGTTGTGCATTTTTGTTATTTCTTTGAATGTCAGTTATAACACTTGAGTAGTAGTACCCACTACTTTCTTTGTCAATCCAATTTTAAACGTTGAGAGGTGGAGTATAAATCTATGTTAAACCTGTCGTAAGTCTCAGTGGAGACAGTCGAAATACCTTTCGATTTTCTTTACATGAACTTTCAGTAAGCCTGCTGGCGTATAAGTATTGAAGGGCAACATACTTAAACTTAGAAGTAGGTCGGCTGAGATTCAAAGGTGGTGTATATTTTAAATACTACGGTGAAACTGAAATAGTGGTACAATGATGCGCTCCAGAGAAGAACGAATCAACTTCACTATACATACCCTGTCGACACCAGCGAATTTCCCAGGCATAGAAGGGCTTTTTCTCACAACCACGTAAATGGTGGAAGAGAGCCAGAGGCGGTCAAATAATGACTTGGCAGCGAAGTATGAAAGCCATTGCCAGCAAACTCAGCTGTGCTGGTCACTGCCGTCAACCTGGATGGGGACCTCAAGACGGGACGCATCAATGGCTAGAGACTTTGTTAGACATGGCCTAGTCGCGCCCCCAATGCCACTCATCGCGCCCCCAATGGCACTCATGCATCCAAGCTATTGCAGTCAATGCATGGCTCCTTTTCCAAACTTCCACTTGATAGCCATCTGACAGTGCTGGATTGATGCACCAATTTATAAGCTCCCGCCTGCAATGCGGAGCTAATTTTCCTCCCCAAATCATCTGTGAACGAAACTACGGCAGCTACAACCNCCATTGCCAGCAAACTCAGCTGTGCTGGTCACTGCCGTCAACCTGGATGGGGACCACGAGACGGGCCGCATCAATGGCTAGAGACTTTGTTAGACATGTCCCAGTCGCGCCCCCAATGGCACTCGTGCATCCAAGCTATTGCATTCAATGCATGGCTCTTTTTCCAACCTTCCACTTGACTGCCCACTGACAGTGCTGGATTGATGCACCAATTTATCAGCTCCCGCCTGCAATGCGCAGCTAATTTTCCTTCCCAAATCATCTGTGAACGAAACTGCGGTAGCTACAATCACTGTACGACGAGCACGCGGTTATTACAACTGACAATGATGGTGATGTTAATGATGGTGAGAAGCAAAGTACTAGGGCCTGGGATCACTATAGAAAAACCGCCAAACCTTGCGTTTATGAAAGAGAAAATTAATAGAAAATGTATGTAAGCAGATGATACCAAGGTCTTAGTAGAGTGTTCCAAAGGAACTCCCAGGAAAACGCACTTCCACATAAGTCACCGAAGGGGAAGGAGGAAGGTTTTTCAGCGTTAGCCTAGGCCGGTGGTTTGAAAACTGAAGATAATCAAGCTCTTGGTGATACTGTTAGGCGCACTCCACAGAAATTCACCTATAGAGTGCCACTCAGAATGCGAGATGTTGATTTAAGTAACTGTCTGTAAAATATACAACGCCCAATTAGGAATCATAACTGCTTCTGAGTAGACCGTACGCCACATATATACCGGAAACAAAGAGAATCTCAGTGACGCAAAGCAGCGTGCGTCTGTTTTGGCGTTACAAATAACCCGTCTTTGCAGCAAAGCCGTTTGACTTAGAGAAGTTCCAGTAAATAAGTGCATGGAAGTAAAGCGCTTCCAAGCAGGTAAAGGCTTCTGGACATTAATGTCCGCCTTTTTACCTATGTAACACTGATGACTGCTAAACCATTAAAAATAAAGCGCACAATCTTGGACAAGCGAGTGTGCTCGTTTGCCGTACTTGATCGTAGATAGCCTGGGTTTCTTCTCAGTCCGCATTTTATCACACTCGTACAGATAACGCAAATCTATGGTGCGGATTAAGATATACGTAAAGCATTGTAAAGCATTTCCTAATGCGAAGTGCAAATGCGACTTTCAAAAACCTGGAGAACACTTCATGAGTGAATGGAAACACTGACCATTCAGGACAATGGAAACTGAAGACCAAAACACTTATCCACCTGCAGTATGTGCTATCTGCGGGGCGCTTCACAGTGGTGTTCTATCCACTGCTCTCCACAGGCCATGCCAGTTTTCCCGCTACGCTTTTACTACGGCATGGCATTTGTTTACTAAAAACACCGGATGTGAGTTGTAGCCGAAAACGCATAGCACATAAGGGATCCACCAGCCAAGCTTTCAGAGTTATAAAATACCAATTTGCATAAACAAGAATGCAGTTGTAGCGTTCGATCCAGTGGGTGGAATAGAGTAATTCAACAAGAAGGTAATTTCATACATATAAGTGATCCTAAGGTAACATTATAGTATGTAAAAGGTAGTCTGAAACTTCACGGATATACGAAAACAACATATAATGAGTAAATAAGAATTCTGTGGATGCTCACACAAACCTTTCAAACACAATGTTCAGAGCGTTAAAAATACTAAACGTTAAGTTCATATCACCGGTAAATAAGCAGTGATAGCTGGTGGACCACGCGCACACTAGAAACAAACAACAAACTCTGGAAGAAGTGGGGCGGCAAGAAATGTAATGGGTTTCGGGGATAGAGAACAGCTATATGGGCAAATATTCGAAGCCCTTGATCTCCTCTTGTAAAACCGCAAATGGTGCAAAGACAGCCCCAAATCGGAACAGCACACATGGCATTTATTCCAACTTGCACATGATGCGTACACAAGTGGTTACAAATACAGGCCTAAGCACAATGAATGGGCAATTCAGTAACGTATGCCTATTTTTGAGACGCATAGTAACAAAATGAGACAAAACTTCCATTGAACAAAGTGTATAAGTAAGTGGCCAGTGAGTCACAGCACATTTACTAGTACTGAGCTGATGATCAACTTCAAACAGATAAGCATTCTACCTACAAGTCAATCGATGTAAGTTAAGGCAAAGTACATAATTTTGCGTTACCAACCAAACACCTGGTTTTACTCTTCCGTAAAGATGGTTCAGCACCAACCGATGTGGAAACCACACACATTTCGCAAGAGAAACATGATGCTTCAGAATTCAGGTAGCAGTATAATATGTAAAAGGCACGGAAAAGAATGAACCAAGTTTATTTTGTGCAAATGGAAGCATAGTTGACCAAAAGTTTTATTATCTAATGCATAGATAATTTCAGTTGACGAAAACGAGGTCACTTGGAATGGATCTGCTGTTAGTACAAACAAGTTGGGAAGTTACATGCATGATCGTCACACAATCCCGATATGAGAGTGGAAAAAATGAGAAAATTATAAGTAGACTTTCAGGCATGAAATACTTGTGGGGGAAGTATAAACTTGAGCGAATTGATGAACAATGAAAAAGTAAACTGTAACTAATATATCAACGACAAATTTTTATTTATACGAAGGACCGGCAGAGATTGGTTTATTATTTACCGAACCATCTGTCTACCGTAGCCTATTGGATGTACAAAGTTGTTTGGATAACCCTTTTACATAAACAGATTACTCATCAGTCAAAATCTGTCTCCTCTTAGGATCTCTGTTTCTTGGATGAAATTTCTTAGTTCACCCTAGACGAAAATTAAATGATACTTTAAAAATCCTTCGATTTTATAGTGCACTACTCAATATATATGTATCGGGATATCTCGAATATCGTAGCGACTGGAACATGAGGCGGCCTGGTGCAGCACATTCAGTTGCCTGGAAACATCAAAACCGATAGATTCAGCTGGGTTCCGGGTGAGTCTATCAGGACTAAAACATAATTCATTGACTGTATGGAACAAGTAAGAGAAGTAACCAACTGTTTCGGCATAAATTGCATGGTTTAAACAGAGTTATAAAAAAATAGACTTAGATTAATTTAAATAATACGAAGACGAGAAACAAAAGGTACATAAAGCTTTCAGTCCCGTTGCAACTTCTTTTTCGTCAGTTTTGTGACAGGTCGCCCTCTGCCCCTGTAGAATCATATGGTAGTTTGTTGATAGCGGAGCATCGTTGTTCGTCATAGAGTACACATACGGCTCGGAATATATTGTAAAGTCTGCCAAAATGTGCCTACTCTTAAACGCTCGGCTTTGTAGGGATAAACTAAATGTTCTCCTCAAATGCGGTATTTGACGTAACTCTGGAAGTTTCAGCATGTTTAGTTGAATGCCAGTGTAGATAACACCTTAAGGCCTTTTCGGTCATAAATAAGCATGTCTGTCGACAAAAAGGATTTGAATCCTTCCAGTAATTTGTGAGATGGATGCCCTTGGTACTTCTCTGCAAGAGTATGGCAGGCAAAATATACTCATTTGTGGTGGATTTCGTTGAGGCTGAAACAGTCACACGGTAACTTTAGGATTTTCAGCGTTGGTTAACCACACTCGCGAGACAAAGTCCTTGAATCAGGGTGAGGAGCTGCTCCTGTAGGTCTACTAATCACTTGCTTCTGTGTCTACTAGGGTACTGTGACGAGTGTTTTTATCCATAATGCCTTCACCCAAAGTTCAGATAACCTGCAATCTACGTGCAAAGCGTGTGAAACAAGAAAATTCAAGACAAAATCTATAAGAATTCACTCCGTCAGCTACCACAAGGAAGACGTCTTTATTACAACTATTACTTGAGTCTGGATAATTAAGACTGTCAGCTGGGTCACTTTTACGTAAATAACTCTGAGAGACGTAAAGGAAGGTATAGGACTCATCAGCAAGCACAGGTACAAAGCTTACACCAGTACCATGGTTTTGCTTTGTGTCATCAGTTTATAACACAGGTACAAGCTTACACCAGTACCATGGTTTTGCTTTGTGTCATCAGTTTATAAAACCGCTCTCCAAATGCAAATCTGACGGCTTATTTGTATCGAACGTTTGCAATTCTGTTGGACGGGTTTCTGGTAAGAATGATTGGTTTAAGCCGTAACTGGACAAGAATGTCAGCGGATGCTCTTTGTTACGCTAAAGGTTCTTACACATACTGAACCGATTTGGGATGGCTTAATTGAATCACTTTACATCAGAATTTACAATTAAAAAATCAGTAAATTATGAGCCTCAAAGAAGAAATATTACGACAACCAGTCCAACTGCGCACATATTCCAAGAGACCTTAGTCTTTTCTGAAATTCAAAGAGAAATTATTCGGCCGGTTTATAAGCGGTAAAGCTGATACGCAAAGCCGTCTGCTCCACAGAAGATACTGGGCTGAGTCAAATTATCACGTACTTGCACAACACTCATGAAGCTGATGCTTTTGCCCTGTGCGAGGCTCGGCAGGCAAGCCTAGTCCTTCATGTCTTTACCACTCGTTCATTGTTTAATTAAAAATATGAACGTCCAAGTACAGGTGAGATATGTGTTAACACTCTCGCTTGGGAACTATAACTAAACCCTACTTGTCTTCGCGTTTTTAGCAGTCGGCAGTGCTGAGACCGGCGTTCTACTAGTGAGACACCAACTCTTTCGACCGTTTATAAAATCCTGTTTCACTGTGAATCATTCAGAGTTTCAAAGTGGCGGCGTTTAGACGAGCATATAGTAAGGAAATAATATGGCCTTTTAACTGCTCCATTGGACCGGGACAAATGAACTAATTTTCGGTTAATGTCTTTACGTTTGGTGAATACGTAGGATGCGGGCAAGCATGAATAAACAGTATGAAACTCACACAAAATGCATAAAAATATGCAAACTCAGATAACATTATTCAGTTTCAACTTTTTTACTGTCACGTCCATGACGTGACAGTATAACAGCATGACGGTTATTCAGTGCAATGTAAGAAGCTGACGAAAGCCTAATTCCATGTGCGTGAGATTTATTCTGAAGGGTGTCTGCTAATTTACAATATGTTCTCACTGACCGCAATGGGATAGCTGGGCCTATAACCATTTGTCTATTTTAATGCAATTGTTTTGAACATAAAATCAAGCAAGTTGTTTTTAGATGTTTCCAACGTTTTTTTTCCCGTCAGAGCAGCCGTAAAGAGCCAAAGTACGGAATCGTTCCAAAAGAATTGCTTCTTCCGAAATTCCTTGGCACAATATCCCACTTCAACTTCACTTATGAAAACCGGTTGTCCGAAACTCTCTTAGACACAATAAAAAACCCATAAACATTTCAACAGCATATTCTTAAAGCGTTACATTTAACCGCCTTTGATGTACCGGAATCAAACTGGGATTTAAAGTACCGGACGTAAACAATTTTAATTCCCAACGAATCGCTATTTTCCTCGATGGCGTGCTTTTGGGTGGTCCGATTACATTGTACAATCATCTGGTTTAAAATGAAGGCATTCTTTACGATGTGACTGCAGATAATCTCACTTTGGTGACCTCCTCGTAGTTTCTGGTGGAACTTCTCTTTTTGTTCAGAAGGAGGATACAAAGCGATTGCTCATCGAATTGGGATTCACGTCTCTACACTAAGTCGAACACACAAAGGGTCACCTTGTTCAACTTGCTTGTTCACTGGAGGTTTTTCAGAGGCAGTCACGACTGACAACTTGTGCTTTTAGGTTACAGTCTTCATGGATAGCAATTATGCCCAGAATACGCTCCGATCAGTCGTTGCGAGCCAGATTACCGTACGTGTGAAAGCCGTGTCACCCAGCTGAAGTTTTCAGCTTGGGTTCATCTAACAGGGAGGAACTTATTGCATATCGCATTGGGAGAAAGGTTTTTCTGTGCACTGGGGAGTACGAAAGCCACATTTATTGACTCTAAGTAGTAGTTTGAGCCCAGCTACCTCCGGTGCCAAATTGAGTGTGCGCGGCTTTCGTACCCCAAGCAGGCACTTATTTGTTACCTTTATCACACTGCACTTTCAATTCAAACGTTGTCGGATTTTCCGCCATAAACACTAGTTTTATAGAACCTGTTCTGCCATCGGCTTCCAATTTACAGCACCTACGCAGTTGATGCGGTCATTAACCCATTTCTCCAACAGTTCAAACACTTGCACACAGAATAAAGAAACGTGAATTTCACGACTGACAACGCAGTTTACTGGACTTTGGTCCATAAGGATTTGGTTCGGTATTTATCTGCAATTAGTTGATGGAGTCTGTTTGGGTAGCGAAGTATAAAATTCACGAGTCATTCTCCTTTGCACATGGTGGACTTAAAGTTAGCCGTTCCAAAATAACTGGTCACCAGATATAACCGCTGAAGAGGGTTACTAGTGAGATAGCCAAATAAATCAAATGGCCCAATGTATGTTAAACCCCGTTTTAGGAGGTTTCAGTTGACTTTTACATGCATTGCAACGGTGTGTTCCTTTTGAAAAGTGGTTCCTTTCTTCAAATATTTAATCATCAATTACCTTTTGCATTCCACGGAGTGATCTTTCCGCAAATCTTATGAGTCTGGGTTATAAGTCATGATAAGTCATGGTCACATCTGGTCAGAATGGCGGATACTAATGAAACTGCTTGCCATCTGTTAGCAAACAGACGTATACATTCGTACGGGAGAGATGTGCACGTTTTGCTCAAAGATGGATAAAACCAACAAAGTTGGAGTTCGGTTCATAGTTTGAAACCGCATTCGGTGTAACCAGTGGGCAGTAGCGCTCGAAGTTTCACGATGATCAAGTGACTGGAATGATTTGGAGGGAAACCATGAAGAACAGACAAAAAATCACAGCAGGAGAAGCCGTAACCAAACTTCTGAAAACAGAATAAGCCCTAGGCAACCTACAGGGGGCTTGTAATGTTGAGAGAACTGAATCTCTGAATACGCTGCACATCATACATGATTGTAGTGAAGTGTAGTTGGCCGGAACATTTCTCGTGATGTAACTCAGAACATGGTATCAAGTGACATGTTTTTATGAAGTTAAACCGGTAGAGGACGCTTTCATAATATCACTCAGTCTGACAACTCCGCGAAAGTTGAGTCTTCACCGCTTTTGTGAGGAAAAACAGTCGTAGTCCGGAGAAAAAACAAATAATCAGGACAATATTTTTAATGGAGGAAAAATTATTGATTTTTGGAGATTTCTGTGAAGCGAAGTGCGTAGGGTTATATAAGTGAGTAAGTTCATGAAGAACACCACCCACAAGGCTCATAAAACTCTTAGATAGCCCACAGCCGGTTTTACCCTTCTTGAAGCTCATCAGTTTCCGTCAACCTTATGTTCTACTTGAACCCAAATTGGACTGATTTCGACAGAACACTCATTTTTAAATCAATTTGCTCTGAGCTTAGACCGCTTAATGGAAAGTCTGTTATCACATGCTTGGATTCACTTACTGAATCATTTAAGTCAGACAACCGGCATACTTTCAGCGTTACAAAAGTGCAATTGACAGGGGACCTCTCAAGCTGGAAGAATTTGATGCCGCTGCGGAAATCCGTGCTTACTCAAAGAAAATTGGTGACATCGTATTGGTGAAGAATAAGTCACTACATGTAAGTTACTCATTTTCACATTTAGCTCGTCCTCCTGTTTTTTAATGATTTGCATAAGTGTCACGTATTTCTCCACTTCGCTCTAACAACTTGGACAGAAAAACAGTTTGGAAAATTCCACATTTACCTCCATGACTAAATTTGTGTCATGTATATCTGGTCCTTATTGGAACGAATCATCCGAGGTGTCCAGCCTCCATTTCGCTCTAACAACTTGGACAGAAAAACAGTTTGGAAAATTCCACATTTACCTCCATGACTAAATTTGTGTCATGTATATCTGGTCCTTATTGGAACGAATCATCCGAGGTGTCCAGCTATGATGGGCAAATTCAGGATCAAATGCGTTCATTTAATGCGTTCATTTAGTTCAATTGATTCAAGCAGTTGATCAATGTATCATACAGCTGGTACTTTCATGGAATACATTACTGACCTTGTTGTATTTCGCATGATAGGTTCACTCATCAATTTACAAAGGTAAGTCAGCGCTTCTTAGTTGGCGTTTGAGAAGAAAGTTTCTTATTTTAACACAAGGGGTTCATAAGAACTCTGAGGGTAATGTCGGAGAGATTAAGAAAGCTTTGATGTATTATGTCATTGATCCTACCAGAAGATTTGTAAATATGGTTCTGCAGGAGGACATTACTTTGAGCAGCGCCTGATGACAATGCAGTCTACTCTTGTGGCACAAAAGCCCCACGAGTCGGTAGTACAATACTATGGATAGGGCTCAGAGAAAAATGGAAGATATTGTTATAGAAACGGGAATTTTTAAGTCGGTCCACGGCCTGATACTATGGTCCAGTTTCCGGAATGATTGAAGGGGAGAACAAATCATAAGATAACATTAATCCGAGGTACCTAGTAAATTTTATTTGTGCCGTTGATTGTTGAAGAGAGTGGAGGTTGTGAATCAGTCGCTTTTTGGTGACGGAATCTCGGAGTTTCTGACTCGCTCAAATTGAGGATTACAATATAGAATTCCTGATGAAACAGTCCAGAATCAACATCCAGTACAAACGGTTATGTTGCCGGAATGTTTATACACATTGGTCGTGTTGTTTTAATACAAGGAATCTGTGTAAAATATAGAACGGAAAAGTGGGACACACCACGCTTATCTAGAATCGTAGTTGATCTTTCATCACCGATCTATACATATAGGCCACACCCAATGAAGCAAGTGTGGTTGAACAAGTCCACGACTGTCTGTATCAATTAATCTCCCCAGGGGACTTCTTGGTCAACTCTCTAGAGGAGTCCGACGGGTGAATGACAAGAAGTATCAGTTTAAGAGACACTTGAAGCAAGCCGCGGAACAGACTCGGACCGCTGGGGTACTCAGTTAAACCAGAAGAGGTAAAGGACTTTGATATTAGTGTATTCTTGACCAATTTACATCCGTAAACGATGGGCTAAGATGGGTGAAGATTGTCCTGCAGCAAGGGGCGCAAAAAGCCAGAAGGAACACTGTTAGATCCGCTGGCTCTATGTGTGGAGAGGTTATTCAGTTTTATTTTAATCCAATTCCGTTGAATATGTGGTGGCTTTTGCGTTCACGTATTCTAGCGAAATAGATGTGTCTATATTGTTAGCTTTACTAGTCCTGGTAACAAGTCCTGGTAACTCAAGTGATTGACGGACCAAATGAAAACTGCCTTCCGCCCAAGTAACTTTTCATCAACTAGGTGTTTCACCGTCTGATCAAGCTGAAATCCGCAAGAAGACTATTCAATGGAATTCCAGAAACCTCACTCTGATCATTTTGGAAATACATGCTTCTTGTACTGGTTCAAGCAAAGACGCAAAAGATCAGTTGCGGAAAAGCATAAGATTAGTTGAACTGTGAATCAAGCCCATTTTAAGATTGAACACTGGTAGAAATTGTCATTGTGACAACAGATTATGAAACAAGCAGAATGCACATATCGGCAAATTAATCTGGTTTCAACGAAGTACTGAATTCAAACTTAGCTAGATCTCTCGTTCTTGATATTCCTCAACTGAGTTTACTGCAAACAGGCCGCCTCATGTTTCAGTTGAAGCGATGTTCAGGCTACTGCAGTGTATTGTCCCGACACTACTCATAAGGCTGATGATTACGCTTTGACCTACGACCCGTTTCACCTCTAAGGCTCATCAGGTAAGCACTCTGTGTGCAGCACACTCATTTGAAGAATAGCATAACCCAGAGATTCAGGTGAGATTTGGCTGAGTATCCCATTGAAAGAAGGCTTAATTTGCAACTAAGTTGATTTCGCAAATTGCGGTAATTTGGGTTCAACATAAGGTAGACTGGATTGCTGCTGTCTGTTAAGTCCCAAGATGGACGAGACTAATTGTAGGCTTTAGAAAGCCTTCCAGTAACCTTGTGATCAGTGTGTTCCCGCAGTCCACGAAATTATTTGCGGTGATGACCTTTCTGCGGATGGTGCGCTTTTCGTTAACTTTCCAGTAAATAAGGAAGTTTGGTTTTAAATAACGCTTGTAGGTTATCGCCCACCTGGTCTTCAACAAGTTAGTTTAAATACTCACCAACTGCTCAATTACTTCTATTCCCCTTTTTAACTAAAAATGTGGTACACAGCAATGTGAACTTTCTACCGCACCCACGTATCCTATATTGATTTTCGCCAACATCCCGTGCACGCGTGTGTGCGTGGACATACACAATTTCCCGCATATGCAGTCAGCTAGAAAGAATGCTGTCCACATGCACGTATCGATCAGTCGTGAGGTAAACGCATGTGACCGACAAATGGGGAGGAGGGTGAGGGGCAAAACAGAAATACAGCGCTTCAAGTGTAATTGTGCAAATTTTATCATTCACCATCAGAGTAACGTGCGTGCTAATCGTGAGAATTTAAATCTTAAAGATGTTCAGTCATCCATCTGGAAACCGGTCTACTTATTTAGTAACTCGACTGATTGTTTTGTCGACATTCAACTGTCGCTTGGTTTTCTTTCGGATTCTGCCTGCAGTTTTGTTAAACATGCAGATTGTTTCAACCGATGAAATTTGGCGGAGATGGTCAATAACGAACGAATTCACGAATTCACTAGAAACAAACTCTAGGAGATGGGTTTCAATCAATGAAGAATTAAAACAAGCCAGTGTTGAATGTTATATCTGACATGGGATGTTTATTGGTCGCACAGAGTCATCTCTCGTGCCACGGATTTTCGAGTTCCATGACCACCAGGTATTCGGCTAATGGGTGTGTTTTGATGCAATTTAAATATTCCATAGACGTGACGAAAAGATACGAAGGTATGCACGGATGTCACAGGGATCAACCGACCACCTTACTGGGTGGTTTTTATTTCAAAATTATCCCCCGCCTCTTTAGCACGCACTGCAGTACCAGCCGAATTATTATATGGTAATTGATATTCTTGCACCCCTAGGAGCCCTTGGCAATTTACGTTGAAGTGAATCCACACCTCTTTAAAGTGGCTCACAAATATCTGACAACATTCCAGAGGTTACATCACCATGTTTTTTATCATGTTGCACTCCATAGACGGTACATGTTGTTCTACTTTTCATCGATTTAAGCTTTATTATCACTACTTGTAGTACGTTTCTACTTATCTATTTTTACACAGGAAGCAGTGGCTTGGGTGGAGGAGGAGGTCGCAAAGTACGCATGGAATCCAAAACTGACAGTAAGCCACCGAGAGATGATTAGTGCTAGATTTTCCCGTGCGAATCATGGTGATGACCGGGCTCCCATACTTACTTTAAAGATAGTTTTCAAAGGAGATAAATAGACTGTATAGTTGTTTATTGCTCTTCAGCATGAGATCATTTTTTTGGCGCATAAAATCGCGTTTTACAGTGACAGGAACTCGTAAGAATACTCTAACCGACACCCACACCATTGTTAGTTGTGATAACTGCGGAATCGTTAGTGTAATAAGCCAGTCATTCAGTCAACCTAAGAATTCGACATTTGCAGGGTTTCGCAACAGTGGGCACAACGGTTTTACAATGTGCAAACAGAAGCTTTTCGAAACTGAGAAGCCTAACTTTTCAAAGCAGGATTTTCAAGTGTGAGAGTATTTAGCTTATCTTGATTTCTTGAGCCGTGTTTTGTTATCTTATCACATCTATCGTTCTTTCATCTCCTTCAGTTATTCTACTCTCGATGCACACTTATCACCAAAAATACAAAACCTCATTCATCACTAAAATGCGTACAAAATTTGACGTCCGCGTTTATACATGCGGTTGGAAGTAAACCGGGTGGTGAATTTAATCTACCAATCTACCTGTGACCCTTCGTGCCCTTGGTATGCTAGACTGCCTGGGATTTTAAACTATCAGGCTTGAGGCACAGCTAATTATCCTGGTGTGTGATTCGGTAGTTGGGTCAGCTATTGTTTAACTTCATGTGGTGTAACTTTCCCATTTGAGTCATTGTTGAAACAGTACAAAAGACACGGCATGGAGTAAAGTCTATGCTTATATCCATCTCTAACTCTCTATATTTATCGGTCCATGGGTGGCAGGTCAAGGTGAGATACGTTTGACTTGGTCTATCGTTAATTTGATTTTGTACAGTTTGGCTGCCTCAATCAGACGTCCAGTATATTTCATGTAGACCGTCAAAGTCCTCATGACTTCAAGCTGTCTTCCTTTGGCACTGAAACCGTGATTTTGATTGAATCTCTTGTGTAGCAAACTATCTTTGTTTAATTTTGTAAATCAACTGTTGTGCTTCCAGACCATCCAGTTAAGTGGGAGGTTGCAAATCTTTTAGCGTATTACTAATGAGTAGATAAGTTGTCTAACTAATTAGTTTGCGCGTTACTAAAAGCTTAATACTTATCACGTGGATCGGTTTCACTGAGACTGGCTCTCAGCTGGTTTAATAAGATCGGAAGATGCTGCTAGATGCAAAATTACGAAATAACACAACTAGGTTGTCACATTGCAAATGATCAAAACGGGCGTGATTAACCTATGCGCTTAGTGTAGTCAGGCTGTGAATCATAACGTGAGGACCACTGCTCTCTTAAGGGTCACAGATATTCGAGGTGTACTATAGTTACGAAACACAAAATTAGTTAATTCACTAGCAGGAGCCGACGAAGGTCATATTTTCGCTCCCGTAACCTCCTCATTTATTGAGGTAGGTACCTCTAGTCTATCAGACGAAAGACTCGACCCAGACTACCCGGATAGTTTATTGGTTACGAACTACCCTTTTTTAGAAGAGACTCCAAGTTAAAAGAAGCACTGAAGGATGGTACAAAAATGAGAAGCTTTGGGAAGCAATTTTTGTCAACAATGTTCCATCCAAACGGACAGATATTTTTTACTTCAAAGTAGAGCATGACAATCAGTTATGTGAAACTTTTTGTCTAGGATTGGAGTTCTATTTAGCTGTTTCTAATTTCAGGAAACGTTGGTGGACAAGGTCGCTTTAGATGCACTGAATGTCAGCGACTCATTGCTGGAAGAAAAGCCTGGGTACGCATTCAAGGTTCTGCCTGGACAGTCCGGCGTCCACATTCCAGTAGAAGTCTATGTTGGCGGTAAGTTTTCTCCAAACTGCATAGTCTTCCTTCAGCACTTAGTATATGTGGAGTTCTGAGACAGTAACTGAATGCATGGTGTCTAAGGAATCTATGATTTTAGAGGACAGATTACAGTGAGAGTTAATGAACAGCGGTTATGAATCTGTCCGTTTGTGGTCGGTGATGATTTGACCAAGCAACTCTAAACCAAGACAAGTTGGTTACAAAACCTAGTAGAACTCGAATACACAAGAGATTTGCTACTTAGCCGTTCACGTTTAGACCACTGATCTATAGGTCAGGCTTGATTTTTCATCCCAAGCCAGGAGGTATGAAACAAGGACTAAGAACATCTTTTACCATTCAAACTTACGTAACGTTTAAAGACAAACAATGAGTTCAGCTACAATCAGTGGGAATGCTTTCCTTGGAAAGCAACAATAGCAGCACAATGGTTTCTATGATGGATATGGCCAGCCGAAGAATAGTGGTATTTCCCGATTACCGTATTTGGAAGCTATTACTTTGATCGCCCCAGAACTATCCATTTTTAGAGACAACCGATATTTGATGCATGAATTGCTGTGAGTGAGAGATTGACCTTGTGCCATTGGTTTTTATGGACACTTAAAAGCTTATTTTCCAACTGCTGGAAACCATACAAATGTAAACTCTACTAAGACGTCGGTTTATAAATTATCTACTAAGGTATACAAGGTACGAGTCCTTGTTTGTTTTATCGCCTGACATGTTTGACTTATTCGCTTTTTTCAATCCCGTGATCTTTTCCGGTAAATTAGCAGCGCACTAGTTTCCTGATGAGATGACCAGTCACTATTCCAAAACTTAGCGATAAAATGCATAGAATTCTCAGGCAAGAACTTCGGAGCTGAGCCTATTGGGATTCCAAAGATCTCAGTGGTCAGGTGGAATGTCCCATGGAGAACAAAGCCCTAAAATCTACCTGGGGTGTATCAGCTTGACGGTGGAGCGTTACTTGTTAGTTATGGTTGGGTTATATTAAAGATTTAGCCTTCCCATGAGAGCTTCTGGATTAGCAGCTCTTCCCTATATAGTTATTTTTGCTTTGAGCTGTCCGTGTGATAGGGAATTTTTTAATACAAAAAGCGAACAAGCGCCGAAGTTTCTGTTTGTCTAAGATGCTAAATCGGTAGGTTATGGCTCTTTAGGGGTCATCTGATAGAAAAGGCGAAGGAAAAGTTGGACAAACGGTCGATAGACGAGGGTCAAATGACAGATTACCTGGGTAGCTTATGTAGAACTGCTTGTATATGTAAAGCCTTGTTCAACTCTCATGCGTTCGCTTAATTTTTTCCCCACACAGATCCTGATGTATATCATACTCTACGCTGGATGCAGTCATTGGACTACATTCTGGACAACATAACGAATCTTCACTTTGTTTACTTCGCCAGCGTCACTGGGATATTCAGTGTTTATCCAGGTAGGTTTTGAAACCAGAGGAACCATGTCTGGCTATCACTTAGTCCAAGCATTTCCTTCAATACCTAATTTTGGTGTGATTAGTTCTTTGAGAAAAAGACATCATCATTACCTCCGCTGACAGAAAGTAAGATCACCAGCAATGAACCACGTCATTTAAGGTCCTGCAGGAGGTTGAAATGGCATAGGTTAAGCATCCAGGAATGCGTGGAGTATCTAATCCTATACGCTCATTCGGTCCATCTGGATGAATAATTACAACTTACGGAATCTTAGATGATGAGCTCCCTTCTAGATGTTGCAGGATGAACCTTACCTTCCTGGTTAGTTGTGCTTCCCGAAAAAGTTTAAATTCTAAGGTGGGATGCGCGCAAAAGTGGGAGGTTTTAAAATATATCATATACAAATTTTCCCGGGTGTCCGCTCCTAAAATTATCGTAGAGTCGAGGACACAGGCGAAGCCTCAAAAATTAAGTCAAATTATTTGAAAGGTTGAGGATTTAAGGGCTTAGAGTTCGCATCCTTCAAAAGAAGGTGTATGTATTGAGCATGACAAGGAGTGTGATGTGATTAGATTGATTTTCAAATAGATGTAACCGCAGGGATGCTGTGTTTAGCTCATGGCACCAGAGATAGTGACTGACGTTGAAATTTGCTATATATTCTACGAAGGAATGATCAATCCTAAAACAGTGCTCATTAAGAATCCAATTTTTTAGTACCTTATTTTAGCTGCATTCAGTTTTAGACGCAGTACTTATTTAGGCATTCACAAACTGCGGTAACACTTCAAGCGGGTTATGCATGTGTAAGTTCCTTGTAACAAAAAAATATTTCTTCGGCCATCAGCGCATGCTTCTTAAAAGGCCTGTTTATTTATCCCACTAACGAACATTTTGACATTTTTCAGCATTTGCTTGGCACTCCGAAAAGGTGGACATGTTTGATATTCGCAAGACCAGATGGTGAGCAGTCATTTTTTCTCACCTGGAACTCGGTTTATTTCTGTTTTTAAAAACACCAGTTGCTATCCGGTAGACAATGCTAAACTATTGACTCTTTTGGCCTTTTAAGCTCCCTTGGCTCTTGATCAGTTTGTTAATAAGGAAGTGGACCTGGTTGATCATATTTTTAGCTCCGACTTGCTTTCTCATTAACAAGCTTCTCTCCGGTATTCACTGTACATTGCAATGTCTGTAGTTTATGTTATTTTGCTCGTGACGAAAACAGAATCCCCAAGTACCCACTCTCCACTGTTTTGACACAGCTCAACAAAACGCACATGATATCAACTCTTTGACCCGTATCTTGTTCATATCGAGTGAGCAAAAGCGTACTTTAATGACCTTCATAACTACTAATCCTTATTTTGAGCAGTTGTTATCATTTTGATCATTAAAGGTCACAATTCTTGGGAGTTCTTCCGTTGTGAACTAAACAGTGTTCACTCCTCTCACTTCACTCTCCTAAGACGCTTATTGCACATTGCCAGGATCTAGGATACAAAAACCCTACTTTAAACATTACAGGAGCATATGAACTAGTCAAACAAAATAACTGGTGGTCTGAATGAAACTTGATAACCTAAATATTCAGTGCCGGAAGGCTTCCTAGGCTCCTCTGATCAGTGCATTTGTCAACGCTTACGTTGTTGGGCAGACCACAATTTATGCGCTAAATAAGATACACTAGAAATGCGCGAATGTATACGTATCCATTTTTCCCTCATCACCGACGTGTTTGTTCAGCGAAGAAATAAGTCTCATACAAATATATAAGTGCTACCTACTATAGCCATGGAAATGTCCGCCACAAGTCAACTCCAGTTTACTGCGTCTAACATAGTGAACTGTGCACTCTTTCAGGTACATGCAAGGATCGGCGGTTCCAAAAGCCTTGCTGATTATGTTAGATACGTGAGTCCACCGTTTCTTCCGTCTATTGTATTGCTATGTAGTTTCTAAACTGATCTCACCGTCTTTATATAATTTCATTTCTCTTTCATTTCTCTTTTGTAGAAGTGGAAGCATGACTGGTCAGTCGCTTATAGTAGCTAACATTTCCGTACAAAAACTCGTGACGACTCTGGACGAAAATGATTACTTTGCCGTGGGTCATGTAAGTAACAAGGAGGCCAAGCAGTGTGTTTTCGTTTCACACAAAATCACATCACATCATATCTAACCTTCGCTGTCAATCAGTCAAGTGTACAGGAGCTCTATTTACGATTTAGTGAGTCGTGTAAATATTCAACCAGTTTTGTTGTGTTTTTTATCAAGTTCCCCTCACAGGAACACGGAAAACACTTCTCATTGGTGAACAATTCAGAGCCTGCATGTTTCCAGTCGTTCGTGAGGGCAACAAAGCGGAACATTCACGTAAGTTTCTCGAGTAAATTTTTCTGAATATTTGGAAAACAGAGTTCTTGCTTTATTCTCTATAAAAGGTATAGAAATGTTTGAAACTCTGTAAAATATACTGTCCGAACTCAGGGTGAGCACCCGCATGCTATATAACTGAAACAGTGTTTTTCTGTTTCAGAATAGGTGGAACAGCAGTACACCAGTTGTACATACTGGTGCCTAAATGTCATAAATAAGTTGAATAGTTGAATAGTTTATTTTATTTGTTTATTTGTATTTCACTTATTTACATCAGAATGAAGAAAGTGGCGAACAAATCTTGTTTTCTGTGATTGATCCTCTTGGTTAATACATCATAAATTTATATGGTACCAGAAATCACGTGGGAAAAGTTAAGATCGGGGCTACATACACTCTAGAGAAATACAGATCAAAGGAAGGGGGGTTGGATTAGGGATAGGTCAATGGGTCACAAATCAGGTAAGTAGCGTCACTGTCAGACAGACTGGTGAGACTGGGTGTTTTGTAGGCCAATTCAAGTACAGAGATAGCACAAGTTTCTTTTAGATGCAAAGTTGTGGATCCAGCATTCGGATTCCAATCACCCCTACGATCAATAGTAGTCTGGCTTGGTTCGGAGGTACCTGGTATATGATGGTAGAGTACAAAAGTTTCCCTTGGACTTTTAAGCCTTTACGAAGGCTGTTGCCATGTAAAGAAAGGAACCTTTTGGACTAAATAAAATACAATTTCATAAAAAAATTACACAGATTTTTGTTTTCATCTCCTCCTTGCAGCGGCTTGTCAGTCAAGAAATGACAAATGCACCGCCCAGGGGATACGCAAATTTCTCCATGGCTCTGGAAGAAGCCATATTGCTTTTTGACGATGTAAGTAACTACTAGTAAACAGCAAATCCGTGGTTTGGTGTTTCCCTTTATCCAGTCTTGGCCAGTCTCAGTAACAGACTCCTATGATTTCAGCATCATTACTTCACGCTCGGTACTCTTGGCGTTCAAAGAGTAGACAGTCACAACTGGTAATCACTTTGCCAATGACTGATTAGTGAATGTATGGTTGTATTTTTTTGCCACCATGAGCAACATGAGCTGAGGTCTAACCAATGAACTGTTCTAGTGGTCTCGCACTCGGCTGTCCATTCATAAAGTACCATACTTAAGTAATGGACTAGTCACTTACGAAGCACTAACAGGGCTGGAAATATTTTAGGCGTGAGAATATAATACGCCAAATTTTAATTTAGGGTGAGAAGATCTTTAAACAGCGCCGGGGATTATTGTCAAGTAACCACGAGCGACAAAATAACGTAGATGTGGCTCGATGGAAGCGGTTACCCGTCACAACCTAATAGTAAACGACCTCTGACGACCTCATGAACCAACTTGTTGTAAGATATAGTTGCATGAGTGGATAGATTGGTCACGTGAAATAAGCCCTACTAACTGCGTACTCTATAGGAATACAGTCAGATCTATGATGGCGCCGAAATATCGTTGTTAGTTTGAGGCACATTTAAACAAAGAAGACGTACTTTACTTAGCTTACTGGGACAAAGACTGTCGCAATATATCTCGACAGCTCACATTATTTTTCAATTTTAAGCAAACAGATTCCGTGTTTTAGTTTTGCTTCTTGCCATAATTTCTAATATGTTAACAGACATCTTCAAGTTTTGCAAGGAGAGACAATAATCGAATAAGTGAGCAAGCAGATGTCCACATTTGGATTTATTCCATGCACGATTCGTGATGCTTGATATAATTAATGGTCGATGGGAAACACGCTCTAATTGACCGGCGATAGTTAGTTCTATGCACCAACTCAATCAGTTGAAGCAGCTTCTTGTCTTCCGGTAAGCAACCTTACCTCAAGCTACTGCACTAGAAAAAATCTGGTTCATGAGTCAACTTCTTTGTTCTTTCATTCTCAGCGACAGAATGTTTGCCCGTGACCAGAAGATGTTAGCACACTATTCTTTTGGCCTCGCACCAGAAGAGACTGAACAGAGGACAATGCGACGCGGCTAAAGAACAGAGGATCACGGTTCAACTTGATTAGTTTCTAGGGCAAGCGAGTCATAATCAGCTCAATCGTGCGGCTCAATGGAGCACAAAGTCGTTCCCCACCACAGTTTGCGTACTGTTTACAGGAGGCTTGCTAATCATGTTAGATCGCGGAGCACCGCAGAATCGCGGTGGATACGACTACTGACAGCCGACATTGAGACACTGATCCAATCATTTGTCAGCGAACACATTTTGCTCAGATGCGGGATTTATTGTGGTGCAACTCGCATTCTCCCTTAAATATCCGGTACTGGACACAGGACCATAACCTCAGGTCATCCGAGAGGTTTCTTGGCAAACAGCCAGTGCCACTTCTCCGATTTTTCTTACTTTTTTCGATATCTAATCTGTTCAATACATCGTGTCAAATTCCACTGTCTTAGCCCCCACAACTGTGAGAAAAGCTTTCCAAAAACACATTCGCCAGCCCTTCTGTATCCTTATTTTAATGAGAATACCTGAACTACTAACATTTCTTAGGTTAGGCTAAATTTTCGGCCGAAGATACGCTTTTATAGCCAGTAGGTACTATGACTTTGGGTAACTGATTCACCCACCGCTAACGACTGACCAGTCAATGTTTGTGTCCCGATGATTAGTGCGTAATTATTATCTCCATGCAAGTCGCTCATACAGGTAAGCAGTTGTCTCAGACTGCACTTTAAGTCGTTTTACCTTTACGAAATAGCCACCTCTTCTAAAACTCCGGGTGCATATGACAAAGCAGTATGCTCACCATTCACGAATTTTCAGCTGAAGAATGACAGTCATCCGGGGAGAGAAAACACTCCGTGCAATAAGGTCCTTGTCATGTATACAGACAGTGCCTTCGAATTCGACAGCCGAGTCATGACGGTTTTGAATGACAAACTTGGTGATGTAAGTTACATTGTGTGCAGCGCTTTTTTGCTTCGTGTTAATGTAGTTTTCTGTCACTACTTTAATAGAGTATCTACTGAATGTTTTTCGGCAGCCCCGCATTTCAACCAGTCCCTGCCATTCACGAATTCTACACCGATCGATTGCCTTGGTGATCTGTTATAAGATTCGGCAGCCAAGACCGAATAGGTATTTCGGGATTGAATTGGTTCATCATTTAACTTTTCGAAACTTATATTGGTATTGCGAAGTATTTGCTACGCAGTTCTAGGTGAGCGCAGTTAAGGATATGGGCGTTTCTCCGATACGTACCTGTGATAGACGATCGCTGACCGGGAGAAACATCCTGGCATACAGAGGAAATACGTGGATCTTGTCTGCGAGCAAGTTGCTGGGTTGCGCATCTAGTTTTATCAAAGTTTTACGCTATATTTCTTCCGCTAGTTCACAGAGGGTGAACCCCATAATGACTTTGAGATTCATTAAAAAAGGTCTGATGTAGCAGCGGTATGCAGAGGATGTAAACAAAGCTCAGTAGATCGTAAAATCCACCACATGTAGCAGAAGCGAAATTTGGTCTCCTCGATCAGTTGCATAAAAAGTGGCCAAGATGCAGACAGCAGTCTACTGTGACAAGAAGACATAAGGACAGCTGGTTCTGCACACAGTGTAAAAGTAGCTGAGTTGCTTCAGCTGATTCTCTGAATCTTCTCCAAGTGTAGCAGTTTGTAGGGCTGGTGGGTTGTTTCAGATGTTTTTGTCAAGAGTCTGTCAGTAGGTGTCCGTAATTTGTGAGCTTCTACGAAGAAGGTTGAACTTGCATTGGAGCTGCTAATTAGTAGTGCGTTACTTCAGCAACTGCGGTTTTTATGTGTAACCATCACTTTATAGCAAGCAGGACCATTATGCCAGCTCATGTAAAATTTGGCAGCATAATCTCTTCAGTTCATAACAAGCGGTGGATGATTGGGACATTAAATCCCTGAGGTGAATTCAGTTCTAAGCAACGTACCGGTGCGTCTTACTGAACGGTACACTGTCTCTACATGTGTATACTATTTAGCCTCCTGGAATATTTTTACTTCCAAGGTGAAAAAATGATAAAAAGAGGAGTGACGAATTCGACGTTGGTGGAAACGGGACTGACAGACCACCTAAACTAACTAACGGGATGTATTATCTTCCACAATCTCCAAAGATTTGATTGTAACTGACTTCCGACATCGAGATGCTCCAGGTTAATTAAAGTAAGAACGGAGGATAAAGCTTCCACAAACAGCTCATTTAGTATCCATATCCTCCCTGCCTCCGAGTTCGGGTTGTACCAATAAGCAGATAACGAAGAGCTCGACCATCTGATGTAAAGAAGAAATCTTGACTGCGCCAGATCACCCTGGTTACATTCATTAGGAAATCTGATTTGTCAAGTTGTGGTCAACAGTCAAATGGAAATTAGAACGAGAAAGTCAGGTTTTAGTGTTTTTAGAAGGCACTCGATCTGTATATTGTGTGACTAATAAAAAGACCGTGCACATTATCGTCACTCCCAACGTGATTCCGAAGTCTTAATTTCTTATTACCTTGTTGGAGGTATTTATGGTACCT